GAAAGAAAGAAAGAAAGAAAGAAAGAAAGAGAAAGAAAGAAAGAAAGAAAAAAAAAGAAAGAAAGAAATTATGAGCAAGATAATTCTGAAGCCAGCTTGATTTAGCTCCTTTTCCACTGGAAATTTCAGGCCAGCCTCAAGGGTGTGTGCCTGGGATCTGGTTTGTCCCATGTGGTTAGTCCATTTTAAGAATGATGCCACACTTGGGTCGCTCTTTTCTCCACGGTTGCACATCTGGGTTCAGTGGCCACCTCCCCTCCCCGCCCTGTTGGTCCCTGGTGAGAAGGAACTTACCCTTCCTTCCCTGTCCTAGAGCTCCGAACTTCTTCTGCAGGAGAGGAAAACTGTTCGGGTAAGAAGTGTATCAGTGTGGACGTTGGTGTCTTTATTTGTCTTGCATCCAGCTTTGAGCATCCACAGCTTCTCCAAGTCCCCCAGCAAAGGTTGGCTGTGCTGGGGAAGATGGAGCTTCAGAAAACTTTTTGGGAACTTGAATGAAAGTGACAGAATTGCCCCCCCCCGCCAACAAATCACCACCAACTGTAACCTCCAACCCACAAAAAGGGATAGGAAAATAGATGTAGATGATGAGTTGAAATTAAGAAAAAAAAAAAAAAACACCCACCTTCTGTTTTATCTGCATACAAAAAATTGAAACAATTCATGATTTGGGTGGAGTGGTGGTGGTAATTTGTGTTCTTTGGATGCTTACCCCTTGCCAGCTACAGTAAACACTTTATATGGAATCTTTTACTTAATTTTCCCCCAAAACCCTAGATAGTGGATTCTGATATTATCCCCATTTTATAGATGAGGACGTTGAGGCTCTGTGGGTTTTAGGAGCTTGTACAAGGTCTTAAGGGGCAGAGATTTAAGTCAGGTGTCTTTCTCGTAGGAGACTTGGCTTCTGCCAACCATGCCCTACAACAGTGCTTTTCCCCCTTTAGTGTGAATCCCCCAGAGGCTGCGTGAGCACTGGGATTGCTGACCTCACTCCAGAGTTTCTGATTCTGGAGCGGGCTGAAAACTTGCATCTCTCACCAGTTCCCCCGATGATGTTGATGCTTCTGGTCCAGGCACCGCACTTTGAGAACCCTGACACCACATCCCACTTTTCAGAAAATAGTATAAGCACCAACTTTGAAAGTCTGGAATGAAAATGCCTGAGGTTGGAACTGAGCACTGACTTTAGACCTGTGCACAGAGAGATAACAGCCCCGGTTTCTAGAGCATCTCTTCTGAGAGCATGGTGTCATGAGACAGAGATAATTGACCTGTTGGAGGTTTTATTCTGGTATTCCCTTTGCTGCCCGACATTTCCGAGAATACAGTCACACTGCATCATTAAATAAATGTACCACCTCCATTCACTCATACTAAAACTCCATTTTTGAAGTTCAGTAGTTTTCCATTAGAAGGATGACATTTCATTTGCAAACTATACTTAGTTCAGTTTCTTTTGATTCCGTAAGACCTAGTATATGCTGATTCTGTGGAAACACTGTGACCATTGTGTTGGAAAACATCGTCAGAATGCATACTCATGAGCCCATAGGGTAGACTTACCGCAAAGAATTGTTTCCAAATCTTGGATCAGGTCTTGTGTCCAATGAACTAATTCAACAAAAACTCTTCGGTGATTTTATTGGTAATAAGAATAAGTAAAAAGTAATAAGAGAAATGTCATTTAAAAGTTTCCTGATTATGGGTACTTCCAAAACAAGAGGCACTTTGAGAACACATTTTTGCGTTCTGAGTTTCACCTGAAGTAAGATTCCAAAGGCACATTTGAAACCTGAAATAAAGCTAAATCAGCTTGTCGATAATCTGTTCTGAAGCCTTCTGAGCTAGTTCAGGAGAAAGGCTTTGGCACCTTACTTCTCTGCCACTTAATAGCCAAGATAACAGCCCAGGTGTGAAACCACCAATAAAACAGACAATTGTCCTACAAATGGATTCAGGAAAAAAACAACATCTTGAAATTTGCTGCAGTGCTTTTGCTATAAGAAATGTTATACTATTATATGGAACTGAATTCTACACACATTCTAAAGGGAAACAGAGGGGCGCCTGGGTGGCTCAGTCGTTAAGCGTCTGCCTTCGGCTCAGGTCATGGTCCCAGGGTCCTGGGATCAAGCCCCGCATCGGGCTCCCTGCTCGGCGGGAAGCCTGCTTCTCCCTCTCCCACTCCCTCTGCTTGTGTTCCCTCTCTCGCTGTGTCTCTCTCTGTCGAATAAATAAATAGAATCTTTAAAAAAAATAAAGGGAAACAGAGACTGGTGGTATGTGGGGCTTCATTTTCCCAAATGCCTTAGGCAATATCAATTCCACAGGGAGAACTTTAAAACAACAACAACAACAGAACTTTAATCATCCGGTGACTTCATGAGTGGTCAAACAGTTTCCTTCAGTTTTGAGTCAGGAATAAACTACCTGTGTGCTGTTTTGTGCTGGCAGCCGCAGCTAGACATATCCAGAGGCTGAATTTTCCAGAACCAAACCAAGGATTCTTGTGAGCTTCTATTTTCCAGCACATGGTAACTGGAAGCTATTTGCTAAAGACCAAGAACACTCTTTGTTTTTCTCATGAACCGACTGCTGCATTGGAATTAGCACAGTGCAGAGGTGAGGGAACCTCCCTCTGGCTGGCAACAAGGGGCAGGTTGGCATTTTCTTGGAGATCCTCAAATGAGGAGCAGAGGCGGGTTGTGCAGCCTTGCAGACACAATTGCTCTGAGACTGTGTCTTCATCTCCTGCCTCCAGCACAACCAAGGAAACATTCAGGGCTGTTCCCCCAGGGAAGTGAGGTCCAAAGGGATGCTTCGGAGGATTTTTTTTTTCCCTCCTGCATCTGTGGCTGCCCAGAGGTATATATCAGCGTGTACAAAGCAAAGCCCCTGTAGTGTAAAGTAAGATGCTCCCCAAAGCGGTTTAGGAGACTTGGACTGGTGTGTGTGTGTGTGTGTGTGTGTGTGTGTGTGTGTGCGCGCGCGCGCGCGCGTCTGCAGAACGTGCAAGCAAAAGCGCTGAAATGCAGCTCTCGTCTTTGCCTGCAAAGACTCGCTCCACGTCCCCCTCTGCCCAGCGCACTCGGGGAGCGCCAGGGGGAGTCCTCGCGGGCCAGGGCTTCCCGCGCCCGGGGAGCGCCGAGGGCTCGCCTGGCGGAGCTTAGCGCAGCTCGCTCGGCGCTGCCAGCCAGAGCAGCGGGCGGGGGTGGACACTGGGCTTCTGTGTGCCAGCCGCAGCCGTTGGCTGGCGGGCGCCCAATCCCGGGGCATGCCGCCGGAGGCTGGCCAGGACGCACGGTGAAAGACGAGTTGGTGGCAGGCTTGACAGCCCCCCCCGCCC